AATTCAAAAACGGAAAGAGTTGAGATAATAGATAATTGATCAATTAAAAGAACTAAATGCTCTTCACATTTATTCCGTCCACTAGCGGTCCTACGTCAAGCTTCCGTCCGTGCCCTGAGGCACATACCCCTCTACTTTTTTTTATTACTATCACTGTTAACTTAATGCTCTTCATTCCTCAAAACATTTCTTAGAGAAAATTTTACGAAAACTACATTAAATCACTCAATTTAAAAATTAAAAATTAAAAATTTCGCTTATCGTCTTTTGACCGCAGAATATCTAAATCAGAACATTGTGATGTTCATTATACAGGTTTGGCAGAAAAAATCTCCCTTCCTGTTCGTTCCTTATCATCCAAATGCAAAACAACATTGTTGACGTTACTCTTATTGCTATATGCTGTCAAATGAATTTCATGGGCCATAGTTAGGAACATAGAAAAGAAATGTGTCCCTAAAGTTGGGTCCATGTTTTACTTGTGAAAACGTTGTTAAACAATTAAAATAAACATAAAATATTCAAACAGCAACTGTAAGTTTTACGTCTAGTGTGTATTATCAGGTAATTCCAATCAATAAATGCCATAATCAGGCCATTTGATGATCGTCAGTCAACCTTCCCATCTTAACCTTATAAGTCATGGCGGCTAAAAACTCCGAACATTGTGATATTCTCAACCAGTTTTATTACTTACGAGAGCTGAAAATGTATTGAAATGTTGTGATATAAATTGATTTGTGTGTGGTACACATTTATCAATCATCAGTGATCAATATTTTCCTTATTTTTTGTGTAATATTCCTTAATTAATTATTTATTTGCGTGATAGGCCGAATGAAAGGACTAGACCCACATTACATACCGTAACCCTATTTGTAGGAACAATACGCAGACGTCCGATGGCCAGCGTACCGCTGAATTGCCCAGCAGGTGTGCAGAAAAGAGGCATATGGCTGTTCGACAATTTTTACTTTCTTTAAACTTGAGCCCTGTTAAAGAGCAGGACATCGAAAACTACGTCACGCACGTCGTGACTCCAATCAGCAGTGGGTTTTTATCTGAGGAAATCTTAAAGTATGTTAATACGTTTCGCTTTTAATTTCCGTTTTATGATTATGCTTTTTCATTTGAAAAAAAGTAAAAGGTTGTAGGATTACGTGCTCCGTATCAATATTCGGCGACTGTGTTAGGGAAACCATTTTTTCCCATCACGGAAACACCTCGTTTTCTGATGAAAAAAATGCGCATTTTCGTTCAATAAATAATTTAAAAAACTACAAGAGACAGCCCTATTGGGTTGTACGCAATGATGACGTAGGACTACGTAGTCTTATATAATAAATCTTATTTGTTAACTGCAGCAGGAGCTTGTATTTTGTGTAGGAATAGGAATTTGAGCGTTTATACTCTTTAGTATGACGCGCTTGACAAAAATGGCCCACAGCGATTCACGCAGAGCTTCTGATTCCGATCAATAGCGGTGCTTCCTCCTTCTATGGATACTCGCTGCTTGCAGGATGGAATTCAACTTGGAAATCTGTGATAGGTAAATCGCTTTTCGCAAGCAATCGGTGATAATTTTAATTATCATAGCAACAGTTGCACATTCGTGCAATTTTCAGTAGTGACATTTAAAAAAATTATAGTTTTTATTTTAACAGATTCATAGAAAAAATTCATATCGATCATCTCTTGATCAAAATCAGACCCCTTTCATGCCGCAACCGACTTTGCTTTTTGAAATTGCACCCCCAATATTGCCTTAAAGTACATGGTATGTTAGATTTAAACATATCTAGATTGAGCTGGAATTAGGCGTAACAGCTTTTGTAAACAGTGACATCTTTCGATGATGTTAGGAATTCAAGGCACGTCCACGCAAACCAACATTACCGTCGGGTAGGGGAAGTCTTATGGTGATGTTGATTTGTGTGGGGGAGCCTTAAATTTCAAGACATCATCGAAAGAAATAATTGTTTACAAAAGCTGTTACGCCCTAATTTCAGCTCTTTCTTGATATGGGAACTGACATCCGATTGATGACTTAGGCAAATTTCCTAAAACTACTCTTTTAAAAATTTATGGTGGTCCTGAAAAGGACCGTTTTGTCGTGATAGTTGAGTAATGCTGAGCTGAGCTATTAGGGTGATGAGGCTGGTGAGCTATATGTTGTTTGGAATGAGGGTGACGCGCTTGGCATAGATGACCCACAGCGACTCACCAAGAGCTACTGATTCCGATTAATAGTGACGCGGCTTCTCCCTCCTTCTATGGATGCTCATGTGGGACGCAGCTCGCTGCTTGCCTTTCGTTGTGTACTGGAGAACAATGTTCAACGCCACGCGCCGAAAGCACTGATGCGGCTGCTGCTGATGCCAACGATCGGACATCACCACACACGGTGATTGGAACTGAATCCGATCAGCGGTTGAGGCCAGCCTTGATCGATGTGCGGTATAAGAGGTGAGGAGAAAGGAAACTAGTGGACTCTTTCGTACTCGCGTCTTCTTATGCAGCAACAGACGTGACGTCACGTCTGTTGTTGCATAAGAACACCGTCAGAATGAAAGAGTCCACTAGTTTCCTTTCTCCTCACCTCTTATACCGCACATCGAGCCTTGATAGCTAGCTGATTGTGGGGAGCCTTTCGTTGTGTACTGGAGAACACCACCACTCACCACACGGTGATTGATTAAAACCCGTTTGGTGAGACCGAATGGAATTCAACTTTGAAATCTGTGATAGGGAAATTGCTTTTCGCAGGCAATCGGTGATAATTTTAATTACCATAGCAACAGTTGCACAATCGTGCAATTTTCAGTAGTGACATTTTGAAAAATGATGAAGTCTTAAGTTTAACAGATGCGTAGAAATATTTCTGATCAATTGGTGATAAAATTATTGAAATTGAGCCAGGGGCAGTTGAGTTATTAACATTCAATATCTTGCATAATTTTGTTACATGTCCCAATTTCGGTTTTCACAAAGTGTATCCCCATAAAGAAAACACAGACGTAGTCCTACGTCAAAAACCAAATTTATGGGAGAAATTTCTTGCTAAAATTTACCAATCGTGAGATATCCGGAATCAATCATATAGATTCGAGATTGTTTTGCATTTTTCTAGCGTCTTGGAGAAAACCTTACCTCAAATCGAAGTGTTTCTGGTTAATTGACAAGTTATGTGGTATTCGGTCATAGCCCACAGCGGCTTACGACGAGCAACTGAATCCGATCAGTAGCGGTGCGGCTTCTTCCTCCTTCTTCGATGAATCGAGGGCTCTTAAGGGCAGCCTTGATAGCTAGCTGCTTGCGGGGAGCCTTTCGTTGTGTACTGGAGAAATGCAACTGGATATCCCCACTCACAACACGCGGTGATTGAATAAGCACCGTTCGGCGAGACCGGATGGAATTCGATCTTGAAATCTGTGTTGGGGAAAGCGCTTTTCGCAGGGACCTTTTGAAAATTGAAAAAGTCTTAGTCTTTACAATCGATTGGCTTGTTTAGAATTAAAAGCCATCCGATATTGACAGAGTTATAAGTGGTCAAAATCCAACCACTTTTCGTAACGCGATCGACTTCGTTTTGACGTAGGACTACGTCTTTGATTTCTATATGGGGGTACACTTTGTGAAAACCGAAAATGGAACATGTAACAAATTAAGAAAGATTTTGAACGTTAATAACTCAGCTGCCCCTGATCCAATTTCAATAATTTTGTCACCAATCGATCAGAAATATGGCTACGCAGCGATAACAATGCTTCCGAATGTTGATTTTCAACAAGAAACTATTGATAAACTGGTAAATGTCCAGCATTGTCCAAAAGCGTCGAATTAACTAACAAATCCACCAATTACCTACATTCATATGCTGCTTCCCCAGCACAGTCGTCATAGAGTAGTAAGTAGACGAAACAAGTCGAAGTGGCATTCGCTTCCGATCCTCGGGCGCGTGTGGATAGGGAGGATGGAATTGCGTAATATTTTGCACACTCATCGCCATATTCAGAACCAAACGCAAATTCTTCGAGATAACCACCTTCCGTCGTCTGGCTCGCCGTGGCGGTGTCTGACGTATCTCCGGTCTGATTTACGAGGTGTGCTGAAGGTGTTCCTGAAACATGAGATCCGTAATGCTGTCACCTACACTAAACACGCCAAGCGTAAGTTGCCATGGATGTCCTCTTCAATAAAACGGCCGTTCAAGCCATCAAGCTTACATCAGTAAAGAGTTGGAATAGAATTTATCTGTGCTTGTTTGTCCATATTCAAAACAACAAGCCCCCAACGACCACACAAAATGCTCTCCAGAGTTGTAATCTTGTAACCAAGCTTGGAAGCAGGGGTGCAAGTGATTTTGATTGATTCTCTTAATAAACTTTCTCTTCGAAAAAAACTACTACAATTTGGTTTGGCCTACAATTCAAAAACGGAAACAGTTGAGATAATAGATAATTGATCAAATAAAGGACCTAAATGCTCTTCACATTTATTCCGTCCACTAGCGGTCCTACGTCAAGCTTCCGTTTGTGTTCCTAGGCACAGACCCTTCTACTTTTTTTTTTTAAATTGCACTCCCAACATGTTGCCGAAAGACATAATCCTCGTTATTTAAAAAGATTATGTGTGGAGATTTGAACAATTTTCCAAAAAATATCGATTTTAGAAGTGAAAACAGAAATAATATTTGGTGGCCAAATATTTCTTTCAAAAGAGGTTCCTACATTGAAAATGCCGTGGCTTTCTTTTTAACTCACGACATCTGTTGCAGAAACCAACCATGCCGTTAATCTATTCAAGGCTATCAGAAATCAAAGAATTAAAACAGTTGTTCGCTCTGGTTAAAAGTGTATTCACCTAAAACATATAAAGCGCAATACAGCCACGAACAGCACACGAACAAACATTCATCGATTCATACCTTCCTAAATACAGTAAAGTTCATTTTAAAACCGGTTTAAACGTACCACTGCAGATGTCCTAAAATCCTGATATGTACACACCTAAAGCATCAAATGCCACCTCTAACCTTAGCATCCTTAGCACAGTAACTGTTTTTATCACTTTTCAATTCAAATTAATTAGGAATCTCAGTTTTATGTTTTCACATCTCCGCCACTGCCTCCAGTGGAACCCGCTTCCTGGCCTGACTGACTGGTGATCATCACCGCATTGGAAACCGTCACCAGCTCCGATAGGCTGCAGACGCTGGGTTGGGATTGTTGCGGCGATGACAGGAGTGCCGTCAGTGTAGCGTGTGAGGAACTCAGTGAGGATACTCGTGGCCTCGGTTGAATTATGCTAGGAACTGCGGGCGATAACGATGACGATGATGATGTGGCCAACGTGGACACCGTTGGTGATTTGATGCTCGACTCGGCACTGTCCTTGATCAACTTTTGAACCTTGGCGTAGATGAATTCCGTCAGCTTGAAACCTTGCAGATCGGACAGCTTCATGTAGGGATTGTTGGCATATTCCGAGTTTCGTTCGGCGAGCTTCCTTACTTCGTCCAGTACCAGTAGGAAGAAGCGACCATTTCTGTTGAGCGGGGAGATTTGCTTCTGCTGAAGCAACCAATCTCGATCCTGATTATCCGGACAGTAGCGAAGAATTTCTGGGTGCTTGTTGGCTAATCGCTCACGAAAATCCGGAACACCCAAAGCTCGACCGGCTTTCAAATCCAAAATGAACTGAGTCTCCGGACTGATGGTGGTCGTATAGACGGTGGGATTCAAGACCGATGGTCTAATCTGATATGGCAACGAGCCTTGGACGTTTCCCAGCGATTGCAGGATCGAGTAGTGATTCTGAGAGTACAGAGAACCTTGAAGGAAATACTGCCGCTTGAAAGTATCCGGTTGATTCGGTTCCGGAAGTTTTCGCTTCAATGCTTGCTGAAGTAGACTGGTAGTTCCCGAAGGGACAGTATTATCGGTGCTCGAATCAGAATCACTCAACTCCATTCCCGGAGTGTTAGCTCTCGATAGAGAATTCTCCGCTGGAGAAGCAATCTGTCCCACGTACTGACTCTTGCTGTTCTCCAACATGGAACAATAGATAGCCTTCAAAGTCTCCTCCGAGATTGCACTCTCCCCAAGATTCTCCTTGATATTTTTAATAGCCGGTATGAAGAAAAGAGAGCTAAATTTCTTGATAACCACCTCGATCTCCTTATCGAACAGATATTGAATGTTGGCTCGGAGCAATTCAAGTGATTTCAGCGCCGCCTCACCGGCCGATTGATTGGCATGTGACCGTCCGGAGTAGCGCATCTTTAGCACCTCGAGCATTGCTTCTCCACTGAGCTTGGGACGTTGCATTTTCGAGTTGCCACCTTGCTGTTGACCACCCACCGAACCTTCTGACTCACTGGAGGTCGCATTTTGTGGCGCCAATTCAGAGGAACTTGTTGCTGCTACTGCTGCAGTACCAGCTGCCGATGATGTTGCAAGGACGACACTGTTGCTATTGGTGTTGTTGCTGCTATTGGTCGAAGTGGAAGAGGAACGCCACACTCGTTGAATTACCATCGTTATTCCGTTGCCAGTGGGAGGTGACTTCCGGTGGGATGAGGAACGCGAACACGTGATTGGACTGAAATTTAAATATTTTTATTAGTATACGCCTTAATTTAGGTGCAAATAAAATTTTACGATACGCTGATGAAAACTGCCTGAAGTTAGACTACGCAAATGACGTGAAATTGTTTGTGTGGTGGTTGCTTTCTGAAAAGGATGTTGTCTAGAATTGAAAAATGAGCAGACGATTCAGACGAATGAAACAGTGGTGCCAGATTATGGACTTTTCTGATGATTGGAAAGGCACTCCAATAATCGACACGGCAATTGGCAAATCAAAGTTGGCACTCGTGGAGAATAGAAGAACTATGAAAGTGATGATGGTTTCAAAAATTTCCACGGGGAAGTATACGAGTGCAATCTTAAAATGCTTTTATTTTGAAAATGGAGCATTTTATTTAAATCTGGTTACTGCTACAGTGGTAGAAAAGCGGAAGTCTATGTTTACACCTAAAAATCTGAAAAGAAATTATGTTTTCTGTATTATATGTCTATTGAGTAGTCCTGAAGTTTTCTACTAACGTAGCACTACCCTAATAAAAAATAACCATAAACGAACGATAACCCAAATCATTGAACTATTCCACAAATGGTTTGGATGATACCCAGAACACGTCGTTAAGCAAATTAACCATACAATTTTTATTAGGGTAACCAGATTTAAATAAAATGCTCCATTCACAAAATAAAAGCATTTTAAGATTGCACTCGTATACTTTCCCGTGGAAAATTTTGAAACCATCATCACTTTCATAGTTCTTCTATTCTCCACGAGAGCCAACTTTGATTTGCCAATTGGCCAAACCAAAAGTCAGCAAGCTGTCAAATCAAAAGCACTAACCTCACTACTTTTAAAAGTTTAAACTTTCAAAATGAATTGTACTACTGTCAAATGAAAAGCATGACAGTGTTGAAATAAAAGTGGATTATTGTTGTTTCGAAACAAGCTTTTGTCAAAAAACTTTAGTATAGTTAAAATGAAATGAGCTGATTTTAATTAAAAAAAAAAACAAATATTATCGTATGTGATTAAAAATACCACTACAGTCTGTTATTTGAAATAAGCATCTTCAACTAAATATTATCGATTCATATAAAATCATTTTCAACATAACAATATTATTTTTATTTTTATTGGAACATAGCGAAAGGTTTCCGTTCGGCTTCCACATTACGTTTAGCTATAGGCATACCCGGGCTGTTCGCTTGTTAAAACAGGAGAAAACAAATTCCGTTGTGGTGTAGTCATCCAAACCACCAAATAGCAGCTATGCGGACTATGTAGATCGCGATCGTGGCAGGAGAACTCCCTTCAACCTGACGACCGACTCGACATTTAGATAGAAGATCCGGATTAACGTTTGGCGAATGGAATTTATTAGAGGTATAATCACAGACAAACAGACATAACACTCGCAAGTTGTTCATCGAACAAGCATTTAACGGTCAATTTAAAAGTATCTTAGTTGGTAGTAACGCCATATGTGGCATGCATAGTCGATTCTCTTGCGTTTGACATTTACACACTACCGCCATCTGTTCAGCGTACTGCCTAACACAGTGTACTCAACAGATGGCGGTAATGTTTTAGCGACGATGTTTTACAGTGAGAAATATTCAATGTGTTATGTCTGTTTGTCTGTGGTATAATCATAACCTGAAATCGGGTAGAACAAGAATATAATAAAATTTATTGATTTGGATAACAAACATCTCATTAAAATGTTACTTACCTGCCTAAATGTAAACAGGAACAATAACAATCTGTATTGTATTGAAATATGACCAACATTGGAAATGGTAACATATTCGTAATCTGCATTAAAAGTGAAACCCAAACCCAAAGTTTCATAAATTTTGGTAGACTGGAACTATTTTTAATAAGTACTATTACATTTGCAAAAATCACCTTATTAGCGCCCCTCAGTGTCACTTTGTATGGGAGCGAACTGTCAGTTTGTCAGTTAAGTCTCAAACAGTGAAGTTATTACTTTGCTTTAAATCTTGATTTAAAAATCGAGGTGAAAGTGTGTGGGTTCGAAAAAAAATATCGCTGTGCTCAGAAAACGAAGCTCTTTCAGATGATATATAAATACCGATATATTTTTCAAAATTAAAGAACCCAAAAGGCAACCCTAATTAAAAAATTACCATACACGACCGGCAACCCAAATGATAGAACTATTCCACAAATGGTTTGGATAATACCCAGAACACGTCGTTAAGCAAAATAACATTTCGATTTCATTTTGCAAGCCAATGGAAAACTGCTTGAAAATTTGTTCAAGTTTAAAATTGTTTTGCTCTTTCTTAGTTGATTACCGCCAAAAGCTCTGAGCCAGGAGTGCTCGAGCCCCCATGACTCTATCAAAGTTTGTTTACATACATGTTTCGTCAAAGTATGTTTTACAGCAATTGAAAACTCAGCTGAGTCATAAAAACTGTGCTGGTTTTTATACTTTCATCATTGAGCCTGTTGGTTTTTGTTTTTGAGCTTACAATTAAGAATGTGTTATGAAAAAGTATGAATCATTTTTATGAGATTGCAATGCATGACGAGAGGTAAGAACAATAACTGAGTTTGTTGCTTCTGAATGTTTGGCTCCCGTTTGACAGTTCTGACTGGCTCCCAAGTGACAAGCACATTGAGTGAATCCGCAGTACCCAGTTTTCAACTAAAAATATGAAAATAAATATGTTTCTATATTATATGTCCATTGAGTGTAGCATTGGTAACGTAGCATTAGTCAGATTTTATTGAAATAATGTGTGCGCTAATAAATGCATTTGAAGATTGCACTCGTATACTCGAGCGTATACCTCACCTTCCTGGTTGACAACAAACGTATTTTATGTTAACAGACATGTGACATCAATGTTGAAAATAAAAATATTGTTACATTTATTTTAAAATAATTCGTGTTGAAAATAAACGTGAATGTTTTTGTTTGATTAAACAGCTTTGTAAACACAAAAAAATATTTTTTTTTCCATATGATTTTCTAGTTTATTTTAATCGTATTTGTTTGTTTAAAAATCATAATTTAACCACAGACAAACAGACATAACACTCGCAAGTTGTTCATCGAGCAAGCATTTAACGGTCAATTTTAAAGTATCGTAGTACCGCCACCTGTGGCGCGCATAGTCAATTCCCTTGCGTTTGACGTTTACACACTACCGCCATCTGTTCAGTGTACTACCCACCACAGTGTACTCAACAGATGGCGGTAATGTTTTAGTGACGATGTTTTACAGAGAAAAATATTCAATGTGTTATGTCTGTTTGTCTGTGATTTAACTATATGTTTTGTATTACTTCTGCGTGAAGTCAACGATTTACAAAGTTGAAGATACTGCTAATTTCAAATAACAGACTAAAGTGGTAAATTTTATACGATAGATGATGAGATGAAAGTATAGAGTTGATAGTTCACTTAGAGTACGGCAGTGTGAAAATTGTATATAGAGAGTTAGAAAGCGAGTAAGGACAACTTTTTAGAAAGGTACAAATCGGTTTGATCATCTCTCTTTACCAAACTCCCCCGTTAGAGAGGGATGGTGAGGGGTATTATTCCAGTATTGGAGGGGGGGAATACCCCATCCCAACTATAAAAAAGCATGTTTGAATATTTTAATACATAACACGTCGTTAAGCAAATTAACCATAATTTTATTAGGGTTGCTATTTTACATATTTTTAATTGAGCACAGGTAAAGATAAAATTGATTATAGTTAACTTAAATAAGTTTCATTTGAAAGCTAATTTGGTGAAAATTCACCAAATAGAACACAGCCTAAAGTGGTAATTTAAAAATTTGCATTGCTGGCATCACTGATCAGACGCAGGGCATCAGACGTTAGGAAACTGCACCCACGATCAAAACAAAAACAGAAACTAGAGTCAAGTCGGAAAGTATATCTCGGTATAGCGTACGCGGATTAGTTTCCGAAACCTAAATATTGTTTTATGGAATAAAATTCAGCTATCGATAAATCGTGTTTCAAATCAATCACCCACCCATCATGACGGATTCGGACGACAGCGCCTCCCGGTTCACGGATCTTTACAAAAACAAATCCCGCAAGGAGCAGCATCAATCCGAACGCCGACGAACACTGCTCGAGGAACAGAAACGACTCCGGCAGACGGAAATTGACAGTGCCCGGCCTGGTCTGCTGGAACTAATCGAAGCCGAGGGTACCGAATCTGATTGTTCCTCGGTGGATCTACAGCAACGGCGATACCGTCCGAAAATTTGGTTCAGTAAACTGTACCGCGACAAAGTGCAACTTTCCGAGTGGATGTACGAAAAGCCGGAAGATTTGGAAAACTGGTTCCTAGTGTCATGCCCCGTGGGTATCCGATGTTTATTGGTGATCAGAAAGGGGCTGGCAGTGGCCTACGGCAAGAACGGACGATCGATTACGCGATTTTCCACCCAGATGGGGAAAAAGCAACGGGTGACGGTTTTGGACTGTTTCATGACCAAGGAACGAATTTTCTACGCAATCGACCTACTGGTGTACAACGAGATGGACCTGGTACAGTGCGAATGTCAGTTTCGATTTCTGTGGCTGAGGTCCAAACTGGAGGAGGATAATTTGCAGAAACGGTTCTGCACGGCGAAAGAAAATCATTGGAGCTTGGAACTACTACCGGTGTTTGATTTTAAGGCAAGAGATCAGATTGAGGACTGCCTGGCTCGTTATCCGATGTTCGCGGAAGGAAGTTCTCGGTTGGATGGATTGCTGTTTTATCACAAGGAGTCAAACTACATCCACGGAAGGACACCTTTGGTTACGTGGCTGTTTCCGTTCATGGTTCCGGATGTCCTCGGGGAGGAATGGGGTCAGTCCATGAACCATCAGTACATGCAGAACATTCCTAGCGATTACCAACAGCACGGTTACCGAGCGTACATGGACGAGTTCGATGCGAAACTAACGAACAAACGAGCTCGAAGGAGTAACGGACGAATAAGTCACATGGAAGAAGGTGATGATGAGCACAGTACCACCGATACGGGAGAACTGGCCATTTGGGAGGAGATGGACGCGGTGCCAGTGGAAGACGAGACCTACCAAGATGAACACTGGCAGCAGAAGGACATTAACGAAATGAAAAGGCTTGAGATGGAGGGCTAGATCCGGTGCATTTGGTCTAAGGTAGGTGTAGCATCCAGCCGTAAGAAGAATTATTTAAATATCGAATATTTATGCTCTGACTATTACTGAATAGGTATATTTTGGACGGTTGTTTCAACACTGAACTGTTAAAGAACTCCTTTGACCTATGATAATCTCGATAATAAAACTCACAACTGCGGAATTTAAAAGTTTCGCTAATCGAAGATTCGATTCCATCCGTCAATATATACTGCATTCTCCGAATCATCTGCAAACATGCCTATATCACAGAAAAACGGACGCAACACTTCATTCTGGATCAACGTTGACGCGATTAACGATTGATTTGAACATTATCATATCCGCGAACTGCTCACCGCACACGGCGAATGAGAACGACCCAAATTTGAGTTTAGTTCACTCATAATCGCCAAAAATGCAGGAACTCAGCGATGAGTGAAATTTGTCACATGTTTTCCCAGGATTTGAGAAAAGTAAATATTGAATTCACTCAGTCTATTGGTACTACCAACAATCAATACGAAACTAACGATTTTAAATTGGCTCACCACTTTAGTAGCCTATTGGTCCCAAGCAAACGATTAACGTACCCTATTCTAGTTGAAATTCTATTACTACACTATGTTTGTTTTGATTCGCTATGAAAGTTTGACAGATAACATCAGGGGTGTGTGGATTCATGCAGAACATGCAGGGGTGAGTGAAATAGCTTGGGACTGCTTGGGACCGTTGTTCTGGTACTGAGTGAGCCAAAAATAATAATGATTTTCTTCGGGACCCAGTGGTCTTAGAGTTACCTCTATGGTACTACTCCGAGACTGAATAAAATTTTCGTCAATTTCCTCATTTTCCAGCAGATTTTTTAGGTTTTCCACAGGAAACCATGAGACAAATTTACTCATCGCTGAGTTCCTGCACTTTTGGCGATTATGAGTGAATTAAACTCAAATTTGGGTCGTTCTCATTCGCCGTGTAGATATCGGTAAAAATTACTGATAATCGAAGAAAGTGCACATACCTAAATTATCTGTTATCATGGATTACCAATAATTAACGTTAAAAATTATCTACTTTAAAGTAAAAAGTGCCTATTAATAGTAAAAATTAACGATTTTTATCGATTTTTGCGTTAAACGTCACTAATCTCTAGTCATCTCCAGGCTGGTTCGTTTTGGTGCGATTTGCGTGTGTTAGTGAGATGAAATTTTTTGTTAGATATGAGAATTTTTTTGTTTGCTGTAAGAACTGTCATTCAAAAGTAAAAATAAACAAAAAAACGAAAACAAACCCTACGCTTGCACGGTAACAGTCAAATACGCTTTTATGAGTAAAAATTAACCCATTTTTAATAAAAGTGGCTTTACTCATTAATGAGTAAATTATTTCAACAACAATGAGTTTCTGCTAACAGTAGCTAACAGTTACTACTTAATTGGTATAATAAGCTACTCATTAAATAGTAGTGGTTCACTTTTACTCTTAAATGGATGTTTGATTCTTACCGTACACATGACAGTATACGCTAGTGTGTGTAAAATAACATTATTAGTGTAGTCACAGACAAACAAACATAACTCATTGAATATTTCTCACTGCAAAACATCGTCGCTATAACATTACCGCCATCTGTTGAGTACACTGTGGTGGGCACTACGCTGAACAGATGGCGGTAGTGCGTAAACGTCAAACGCAAGGGAATTGACTATGCGCGCCACAAGTGGCGGTACTACCAACTACGATGCTTTTAAATTGTCCGTTAAATGCTTGTTCGATGAACAACTTTCGAGATTTATGTCTGTTTGTCTGTGGTGTAGTGCTCGTGAGATCCTGCTTGGATAACTCAATAATTGATGAATCTACGCGAAACTGCACCAGTGCATGCGACACCTAGGTTTGAAATCCAAAACCACAAAAGTGATGATGTACTAAAAAATATTCCATACGATTTGACAGCTAGCAAAACGTCATTATCATTTTCATCTGCTGGCCGACCGTAGCGTAGTTTCATCAATTCAGTGCCAACATTTCAAAGGGGCGTAATTGCATTTGTAAACAATGACTTTAGCCGTCGATTTCTCGCGAATAAAAGCTCACTAATGAAAAATAATAACACCAGCAGGTAGAGGAATGTCTCCTCTACCAGCTAGCATTGTTATTTTGGATAGGTAAGATTTCATTCACGAGAAATTGACGGCTAAAGTCATTGTTTACAAAAGCAATTACGCCCCTTTGAAATGTTGGCACTGAATTTATCACACATGGATGAATGGATAGTTTGTTTTCCCACTAATCTGTTTCCCTATTGGCGATCTAACGGTAGCGCTCGTGGCGAATAGGAGAAATAGAAAAATGATGATGGTCTCAAAATGTTGCACGTTGAGGTGTGGAAGCTGCCTTCCTGCACATTCGATTGCCGTCAATGGATGGCAACCGATGTCCGTCGGTGATTGGCATTAGATTGCGGATCAGAGATCGACGTTAAATAAAGGAAATAAGAAGAAGAAGGAATGGACTACGTTAATCGATTTACTTGGTACCAATTAATCATGTTTTGTTGTTTTTTCATCATCCACATCCAGAGGGCCAGTCACTTCGAATGTATGGGAATGGTAGGAAACCATTTGGAAATGCATGAAAATTTTCAGTTTTTATTCATTATCGTCTTTATGGGCAGTTTTAGCAACCGGTAAACACTCGTGTTTATTTCAGTTACCGTGGGGACGTAATTTGTGATTAGCCCCGGTCCCTTTCAAATTGTATCATTATTTATGTATGGTCCTAATATTTGAAATGACGTTTCACATTCATGTAGTGGTGGCCGATTTTCATTCGAATAATCGATTAATCGATTAACGAACCGAAAAGTAAAATATTTGTAATCGGTTATATCATGCCGATATAAGCATTAACATCTCCAAAGGATCATCACCGATCGTTTCAAACATGTGCTGCACTATCATTGGTGGAAAAATGGCAGCACAGCGAACCAAAAAATAATCGATTAGTTGTTCGTCGAGTAATCAAAAAATGGGACATCTCTGATTTTCGTGTGATTGTTTTGATAAAAATGAGCGCAAAATTTCATCTCTACCGAGGGGGCAGCAAAACCACAAAATTACCTTGAATACGGGGGATATTCATTGGATGAAAGGGACCGTGAAAGAGGACACTAAAATAGAAAGCTTTTCTTCCGACAGTTTCATCTTAGTATTCATCTTTGGTTTTAGGTGCACAAAAATTGCACGAGTACATTACTATGGTGATAAGGTAAACACTCGTTTATTTGTTTCCTTCTGTGAAAGCATGTTTAGTCACAAATCGTGGATTTTCTGATATTCTCCATACTGCAAAAATGATTTTCCTACCACTGAAGGGGCAACATCTCTCGGATCTTAAGTATAGCTACTACTCAAATCATATAATTAATTAGAAATACTCATAGGAAGAGATAGGCGGAGAAAACAAAATACAATTCGGCAGCAGGGATTTGTTCCTAAATTATCTTACAACCCTTGCTAGAAGCTAGCATTTCAAATGACTTTTATTTTTGAATCGTTTTACGTGCAAAATAATAATTGATTGCATCGCAATATTTTGCACATTTCTTGGTGCCATCCAACGAAGATCAATTAATCAATAGAGTTTGAATATTGTTATTGGTTCCAAAAAATAGTTGAATTTGAGAAGCACACAAAACATAAAGGTGATTGAATTTCTGTTCGATTGCAATACTCTCAAATTTATTCTAGTAAGAATATGAAATCCTCGGAAAATTCTATTTGGAATGTTCGATTGGCTCAGATTTTGACAGTTCATTTGGCTCAAAACATTCCCTCCGCCCATCTCTCCCTCTGAGTATTTCTAGTACCAATAGGTTAGTCAAGTAGTGAGCCAATTAACCACTTCATTTGAACAGTTAAAATGACGTTTACTACCACTCAAACTTTGAAATAAAACATGATTTTGAGATTTTTTTCTTCTAGAACCACGAGAAAAGTAGCCAACATTTGTGCGTTTCATAAAAAATAGAAATTAGTTGGTTCAGTTTTGTGAAATCGCTGGTAGAAAGTCACGCCAAAACTGCTGGACAAAGAGGTCAATTTTACATCGTCAAGACGTTTGATTCTGATGTAACGTTTGAGGCTAATGTATTTTTATGTACTTGGACGTCACACTACATTAAGGGTACAGCAATACACGTTAAAATTTAATGTATTGAAGATGTCTGCTGATGTTTCCTACATTACAATTTCTATTCGGGAGCAAACGGTGCGCTAGCAATGCTCACCCGGGAAGACATTTCGGCGAAGGAATTGCAAATGCGCTTTCGTATACCAAGTGTACGAAATGAAATTCGAGCTGTTCAAAGTCGACGGAAGATTTTTATGGCGATTATGCCAAACTGCAAGATAAGCTCAACATCGATGAACGCCACCATCGATAACACGTAGCACTGCATTCGCAGCATATAACAAGAACGACGAAGAACCACCATCGTGGACATCGGACCTGGACGACTCAGCAGAGCAGCAGTGGGTTTAATTGGAATTTCTGTGTAGGAACTTAAAGTGCGGTTCGATAGGTTCGAATTAAGCTAAAATAATTCAATAAATTCATTATGTGTGTAACGTTAGAGCAATGTTAGTAGCAATTTATATGTTTTATGCATCCAGAAACTCTGTAAAAACTTAATTTATACAAATATATAAATATAATAGAATACATTCCTGTATGTTTTACAACATCAGAATACAGTGCCTTCTCATTTTTGGCAACATATAATTTTTGTTTATTATGCAATCTATAAATTCATAGAATGCTCTATTCGATTTATGATGTTACTCGACCATGCTTTAGGAATTAGACGCTGGATATTTAATGAAATATTATACAGAAAACATGGGCGAAAAATTTAGTCAATAAACAGATGGTGACGGCACTGTATTTAGTTGTTGGCCATGGCATGATTTTTAATGTTAACAAACTCCACGAAGCTGGCCAGAGCTGACCTAATTTGGCCTGAAATGAGCAGCTGCATAATATACCACAATCAACAGCGTCTAATTTGTGGGAAATATGGAATCTTGTGGATCATTACAACAAAACCCAACGATTATATAATTCCTGTTGATCGTTTCAAACTCGTGTTGAAAACCAAATATGCTGTCAGACGATATTTTCTTTGATTAGAAAATCGAGACTACTTTGTTAATTTTTGAGTAAATCTGAGTAAAACGCTGTCCAGACTGAAGAGTTATAACATGTTATAACGGTTGTCAACTAATTGCAACACAAAAACCACCATCAAGATAGCGCTATAACATGTTATAACCAACAATCAATACGAAACTAACGATTTTATATTGGCTCACTACTTGACTAGCCTATTGGTCCCAAGCAAACGATTAACGTGCCCCATTCTAGTCGAAATTCTACTAATACACAATGTTTATTTTGATTCGCTATGCAAGTTTGACAGATAAAATGAGGGGTTAGTGGATTTTCCTATGTTTCGAGGGGTGAATCGATTAGCTTGGGACCGAAGAGAGTACCAGAGCTGAGCCAAAAAGTTGAGCACGTTATTTCGGGACCTTCTAGTCTTAGAGTTACCTCTATGTTATAACTGTTGTTATAACTCTGTAGTCTGAACGTACTATAACCACAAACGAAGTGACAGACGGAGCGGCTCGAAAACTTTGGTGACTAACCTGCTATTTCAATTTTTCAGTGTACCACATGGCAACACCACTACTACTGGATTGTACCACATGGCAACACTACTATTAGATTGAACTAGCATTTTCACCAAATGTACTAGAATGTTTTGGTTCTATCTCATTCACTCTACTCAAAACTGAAATGCATAAAAAAAAATGACAAAATGATACGCACTCTTTGCACACTGTCAAAGAATCATTGTACACAAAATCAACTTTGTTCAAATCAAAACAAAAAAACTAACCCATCTGGTGGATGATGGCACAAGCTTCCAAGAAAATTCTATTACAGTGAACCACATTATTTTAATGGATTTCTTCGCCAGTATGTCGTCTGTAACTTCGTTTGTGCTATAACCATAGAGGTAATAGTACGTTCAGACTACAGAGTTATAACATGTTATAGCGCTATCTTGATGGTGGTTTCTGTGTTGCAATTTTTTGACAACCGTTATAACATATTATAACCATAGAGGTAACTCTAAGACCACTGGGTCCCGAAGAAAATCATTATTATTTTTGGCTCACTCAGTACCAGAACAACGGTCCCAAGCAGTCCCAAGCTATTTCACTCACCCCTGCATGTTCTGCATGAATCCACACACCCCTGATGTTATCTGTCAAACTTTCATAGCGAATCAAAACAAACATAGTGTAGTAATAGAATTTCAACTAGAATAGGGTACGTTAATCGTTTGCTTGGGACCAATAGGCTACTAAAGTGGTGAGCCAATTTAAAATCGTTAGTTTCGTATTGATTGTTGCTATAACTCAAATTTACTCGCTGCAAATATATTTACACTAAGTACAGCTGTCTTGCCCCCAGGGTGCAGTAGTGTGCGCCGATTAAACGTCAAAAAGCTCTATCCAGCTTTCCATGCTCGGTAATGGCGGCCTGTTGGTTTGAATAAATGTATCCTTCACTGTGCGTTTTGACACTATCTGGATGTTCGGATGTTGACCCCTCCCTTTCCCTCTCCCAGGAACAGAAGAAAATGGAACAACATACGCCCTCCAGTTAGTGTCAAAAAGCACAGTGAAGAATACATTTATTCCTATTTATTCATACAAACAGGTCGCCATTACCGAGCATGGAAAGCTGGATAGCGGAAAATTTTCCTGATGAAAACAAATTACTGGCAAAATCATACTTTATAAAGCTATCTCAATGAAGTTTTTTTTCCCGATGAAAACATTTTGCGTATAGAGATTTTCACGTCCGGTTGTATTGGTGCGATATGTGAGAGTGTGTTAGTGAATATCCGAGGAAAATACATAACAAATCGATGTCAAACTCATTTTGACAGATCTACTTTCATACATTTTTTAGGTTAGCCAGAGGAAAATAATAAACAACTTTACACGGCGTTGCTCTCGCTAGTGTGCATGCGTTAAACGTCACTAATCACTATACGCATACGTGACGTAGTGTGCGTACGATACTCGGTACGATAAACGCTGGGGGGGGGGGACGTGCTGTCAAATCAGCCTACTGATCATCTTGTATGAAACTGGCTCCAAACGTAAACAAACGCTGTAGGTTTCTTATGGCTTGTTTACGTTTGGAACCAGTTATGCGAGGTAGGCGACGATTGTTCGTATTTGACAGCCACCCCGCATAAGCGCGAACCATAACATAAACCTTACCTAAAATGGTTAAAATTGTTTATAATCCCTGCTAAACTTCAACTGAAATGGTTATGGAACTTTACATGAACGTTTAATGATAAAGTTTCAACCTTAAGTATAATAGTTTTTTGGAAGTGGACCTTACAAATAATGGGTTGTTAAGAACCATTACCATTCAAAATTCTGGTTTTCTCCATACATTTTCGGAAAGAAAACTATACTAAAACCTTTTAACTTATGGTTTGAGAACATTAATGGTAATGGTTATGGTAACCAGTAAGGTCCATGAATGGTTTTGTAACATCGATCAACTCTATGTGGAATATATCGCGAATTGGTTGCCTGTAAATTACTGATTACCAATTCACGATATATTTCACGTAAATTTGAGTGATAATACAAAACCATTAATGGACCTTACTGACTACCATAACCATTAATGTTCTCAAACCATAAGTAAAAACGTTCTAATATACATAGTTCTCTTTCCGAAAATGTATGGAGAAAACAAGAATTTTGAATGGTAATGGTTCTTAACAACCCATTATTTGTAAGGTCCGCTTCCAAAAAACCATAATACATAAGGTTAAAACTTTATCACACAAACGTTCATGTAAAGTTCCATAACCATTTCAGTTGAAGTTTAGCAGGGATTATAAACAATTTATAACCATTATCGGTAAGGTCATGACATTGTAAGGTCATCACATTGTGATGGTTCGCGTTTATGCGGGACCTCCCCCCCCCCCCTTGGATAAACGTCAGCAATCTTTATTTTTTTCGAACTGGCAGCCCGGGTTTTTTCCTCCAATCTGAATGCACCCCTGGGATGGCAACTGTCAGCAAATGTACGTGTGTTTGTGTGCGTCGATTTTTTGAAGTTTGTTTCTGCAGCGTCAAAACGGGACGGACAAAGCGAAAAGTTTACGACGAGTGGTGTTTCGTGTTCTCCATTTGCCTTTCATTTTGATAAAAGCGCACTTTTCTCGGTAGCGTTTGATTCGTTGTTTTCCAATCAATAATTGGAAAGCATCGCACTACTTGTGAATAGTTGAATTGTTCTGGTGGAATACGAGTGTTGGAAAGTTAGCAGGTAAAGTCAAGATGGTAGACAGGCATCATGTCGCTCAACATGGCTTGTGTGTTCCACTTTCAGTACAATGGCCGATGATCAGGAACAACCGGGACCTTCAAACCAGCAGGAAAAACAACAACAACCCGATGGTCAGGCTGAAGGGCAAGAGCCAAAGCCCCAGGGAAGAAAGAGAAAGCTTTCGATGAAGCGACAAAATGCAAATAAGCGCAATGGACCCACCGAGGAGGAAATAGATGCTGAGAAGATCAAGTTCCTGCTTGATCCGGTCCTGAACGCGCTGCGCGGTCTTCAGACGGGTAACGAAGCTGAAACGATGAAGACGCTTATTTCCACTCTCCAACCGACCCAGACGGAGATTGAAATGGCCTTGAATAAGGTCAAGATGGATCTGGATCGCGTACTTGGGTTTCCAAACAATAACTACCAGATCTATGATTTTGGATCCATCAAGTCTGGATTGGCGTTCCGTGATTCGGATTTGGATTTCTATATTCACTATGCGAAGAATAGTGAGAACAAACAGGAGCAGACCAAGCTCATTCATGTCATCCACGGTCGTATGATGCGGGATAGGACTTTCCACGGGCTGGTGAAGATTCTGGGCGCAAAGGTACCTCTGCTGAGGGCTATCCATGGTCCAACCAACCTGACGTGCGATATTAACTTCTCCAATGCCCGGGGATGCTACAATAGCAAGTTCATTTATGCGGTTACAAGGTGAGATTATATGCCGTGATAGGCGTTGGGGAAATTTATAAACGTTTGGATTTCTTTTTAGATTCGACCCCCGAATCCACAAGCTGGCTATCATCATCAAGTTCTGGGCAAAATGTGCTCATCTATTGACAAACCATCGCCAGATGAACACCTACTGCATCATAATGATGTTGATTTTCTACTTGCAAACCAAGAAGCTTCCGTTGCTGCCGGCCGTTCAGGATCTCCAGAAAGGAATCCCTCGCGTAAACTTTGGTCCGTGGAATCTAGGCTACCCACGGGACATCAACTTTATGTCGCTGAACAAGGAATCCATTCGCTCGTTGTTAACGAACTTCTTCAAGTATTACGCCAACTTTGAATTTGAGAAGAATCTCATCTCACCCTACGTTGGCCGTTTGTGCAATTTAGAAGAGATGAAGATGTGCAAGGTACGGGAGCTGCAGCCGTACTACCGCGCGGTCGAGCACCAGAACTATCCTGAATTCAATATTGGCGCGATGATGTGCATCCAGGATGCGTTCGAGTTGAATCTGAACATCGGAGGAGTCTGCAACTCGGCGGCCCACTTTGAACAGTTTAAGCTGAGTTTCAAGGCGGCTTATGAGGTTTGCTGTGCTACCAATGCGGAACCGTTCTCCAAGGTGCTGGAGAGTTTGTTTACCAAAACCAAAAAGTACCAGAAGTTGTCTAAGACTCCACCTCAAGCTGCTGTTTCCAAGAACGGAACCGTCCCGAAAACGGTCGATGTTGCCGCCCATTGGAGAATCTGCCGGTTGCTACCGGTCGAGTACGAGTTATTCATTGTACGACAGATTCTTCTGGCCAGGAAAACCGACAAAGATGCCATCATTACCGAGCGTCAGATCAAGGACATGTGGGCTGACTGTATGTTGGATTTTATCGAGGACATTCTACAGAAGATATACCTCTGCAAGGTGACTCCGTTGAAGGATGCCGAACGCGCAACAAGCGTTCCGAACAACATCAAAAAGGAAGACGTACGAGCGTTTGAGCTGACCTGCGAGCGTCAAGTCATCTTCAAGCGTGCGCGGTTGCAGATTTCCAACGAAGAAGAGCTCAACAACGAGATCGCCATCAGCAAGTCCCGTTGGGAGCTAAACAAACCGCTCGTGTTCTCCACCCGGGTGGACATGTTCAAGGCGAATGATGCCATCGAGTTCCACATTCCGGAGGAGCAGCGCAAGAATGGATCGATTCGGGTATTCGTGGAGGCTTGCTTCCTGACGCAGATCCGCAAGTGCATCAAGGGATACTTCAAGGTGATGCTGGCCAAGGCGGAGGACAAGGCTAAGGTAGCAGCTACAGAACCAGCAGCCATGGAAACAGATGATAAAGCACAAACGGCCCAGTAGAGGATGCAGTAGGTCAGCTTCAGGATGTATGAATGGGGTTAAACAGATTTAATTCTTAAAACCAGGACTTTTTTTTTATTTTTATTATCGTTACTATGACGATTGTGTTCGTTCAGGTTTAAATATTTCTTAATTTAAACAATATCTTTCCTCATCCGATCACACTTTTTTTTTAATTTCTTTCATGAATTAGTGAGTTGTAGTATTCTTTATTTGAAGAATCTTGTATGAATAAAGGTATGCATGAAGAAATTAAATGCGATTTATTTCTTGATAAGGCCTTGTTGAATTGATTTAGCAAATAGGTTTATGGAAAGAAGTATGCCGAAGAGTTCTGGTATAAAAAGGTATTTGGGCTCGAAAAAGTTGATCTTATACCCCGTACAGACTATCGCTTATATTATGTAATATAGGCTGTCTTGCAATGAGCACTCATACATAGGATTTCCGGTGAAAACTAGATGTATGAGTGCTCATTGTTAGACAGCCTATATTACATGATATAAGCCATAGTCTGTACGGGGTATTAAGTTCTAAACATACATTACATGCAAACGAGTAAAAAATCTATTCGAACGTAAATTTGAGTAAAGGTAACTAGAACAGAGAGAATTTCTATAATAGAGAATTAAAAAACGAACAGAATGCGATTTGAACTTACTCGAAACTGGTAGTTTCGCGTAGTTTCGTTAATTTCAGCCATTCTAGTGTGCGCACCGGAAATTTAGGAGTTTCTGGATTACCGAGAGTTCCGCTCTCGGAACAGCATAATTAGCTTGAGTAATTTCTGTTACTTTAAGAACCGCAGATTGTTTTCTTTTTCAAATAGATTTTTGAAACTTCTGAAGCTCAAGAGAATTCCTACAGTCAAATGAATGTCGTCGTGGATAAGGTTCCAAAGGCAGGGTGACATCAAGATCTACATTGGCGACTACAATGCGAAGATCAAGAGGCTTAGATACACCGAAAATCAAATCGGCCGCAGCCGAAAATGGAGACGGAGCCCTCTTGATGTTCGGAATAAATGCAGCGCCAATATCGCTTCTAATCGGATGTGTGGGTGATCTGGATATCCCTGGGGATGTGTTGTTAAGCCTATTACTGTGGCAACACTCAGACATGTTCTGGATATCCCTGCGATAGTTACCAGATTATGCAATTATGCTATTTAATATAATATTAAAAGAAAGATATTTGGAGGATTAATCAGGGTTTATGGTCATATCACCGGATCCAAATCTCCTATGGGGATGAACTTAATTGGTTGCACTCAATTGGGTTCTTTAATTTTGAAAAATATATCGGTTTTTATATATCATCTGAAAGAGCTTCGTATTCTGAGCACAGCGATATTTTTTTCGAACCTACACACTTTCATCTCGTTTTTTAAATCAAGATTTAAAGCAAAATAATAACTTCACTGTTTGACACTGAACTAACAAACTGACAGCTCGCTCCCATACAAAGTGACACCGAGGGGCGCTAATAAGGTGATTTTTGCAAATGTAATCGTTCTTATTTAAAATAGTTCGAGTGTACCAAAATTGATGAAATTTTGGGTTTGGGTTCCATTTTTAATGCAGATTACGAATATGCATTTACCTCAATACCCTTAAAGAACCCAATTAATTATGTTACCATGCTTTTGCGTTAATTTTCCTTCAGATGTCACTGCTGTTCTTAATGGTGACATCTATCAGAAATTACGGATACATTTAATTCCGTTAATTGTTAACAGAGGGTAGTGCGGTCAAAACACATATGGTACCTCTTGTTATGCATTTAGATCGAGAGGCACGCAATACAAAGAACCGGTGCGTTGCAGTTAAAATGCAATCAAAAGTACTCAAAGTAAATGCGTTTTGAAGTAGTACTGACCGTAATTAAAATTATCCATCCGTAATTAATGTAATTAAAAGTATTGAAAATGTAATTAATGTACTTTAATTACGAAACTTCAACTGTAATTAATGGAGTTAAAAGTAGTTAATGTTCTACATTGTGTAATTAATGTGATTAAAGCAGTTAAAGGTTATTGCGTGCCCCTAGGTCGACCCTTTGCTCGTGGCCCTAAATATTGGTAGTCATTTGCAATCGCAGCATGCTTAGACCTTAGAGACCCAACAACCTTGCTTCAAAATGACAACCTCGGCACAAGGAGCCTCCAAGTTAAACATCTCCGGGGCAAACACTTCCCAACTCATGGAACCGTCTGATTACACATTGGATACCGAATTCAACTACTACTGGTAACCGTTCCATGTAACTTTGAATACTCAAAAACTTTATTCTCGCCCACCTACCCCACAAATATTACAGCGCTCTGCTGCAGGAACTGATACCAAACCTACACAATCCGGATGAGCAGGAACACGCCAACCGATGGCTTACAAAGCTCGTTGAACCGTCCCTGAATGTGCGCAATCTTCGCGATAAGCGAAACCGTTTTCTGATGATGCTCTGTATCTGCCTGTTCAGTGGCCACATTCAGTTTCTATTCAGCGCTGCTCCTGCTGCCAAACTACCGGAAGTGTCCACCCTTAGGAAACCAACGTTTGCCGCTCCGGATTGGCACGTGAATGCCACCGAATGGAAGGAGCATCTGCTTCTGCTTGCTGAGCTGTACAAAAAGCTGAAACTTCCGGCCATCCGCAAGTGTCAGGTTCACACGAAACAGTGCACCGGTGGAAAGGATGCCAGGGCTACCGTAAGCGCTTGACGGTACTTTTTTTTTTTTACTCGAATGCTTAACAAACTCCATTTCAGTTCCTGGATCGTCAGTTCGAATTCTTTCTGCACCTGACGCGAAGCTACATGCATTCGCTGACCTCCTATCCGGAGCTACGAGTGGCTTGTAAATGGATCGAAGTCCTTTCGCAGATCGATAGAAACTGCTGTGCTCGAGCTAAGGGTATCCGCAACGACCATCTGCTGGCGCTGATGAGCTACCTTCTGCAGCACCAACTGATGGGACCATTCCGCAGTCTACCTAACCATCCACTCGAACCTCTGATGGAAACCGCCCGCAAGGCAGCTGACAATAAACCATTGACTCCAACCGGTACATTAGGAATCGATGTCGCAGGTGATGATTTTTTGAGTCAATTCCCAATCCCGGACGAGGGAGCTTTCGCTTACATTTCACTTAGTTCGGATTTAATTCAAAAGGCAGGACAGCTGACAAATTCTTAGTGTCATAAGGTGAAGTTTATTTTCAAAAAAAAAAACTTACAAAAATTTTCGCAATATATTGCAATGAACCAACACAAAGAAATACGCCGAGCAATAGCTTTCTCTAAGAGTTCCGCAGTCCCGCTTATCCTAAAGTATAGCGTTAAATGCCCGCATGCATGCATCATCCCTACCAAAAGTGGTGGATCTTAGGCCAGTGCAGCTTTCAGGTTCTCACCCAATTTGTCCATGAACTCGAACGTTTCCAAGTAATCGGCACGTTTCACATTGGCCATACCCTTGATACAGATAGCCAAATCCTTGGTCATGAATCCAGACTCGATCGTGTCGATGCAGACCTTCTCGAGCGTTTCGGCGAACTTCTTCAGTTCGTCATTGTTGTCCAGCTTGGCGCGGTGCAACAGACCACGAGTCCAGGCAAAGATCGACGCAATCGGGTTGGTCGAGGTTTCCTTACCCTGCTGATACTGACGGTAGTGGCGGGTTACGGTTCCGTGGGCGGCTTCAGCTTCTACGGTCTTACCATCCGGGCAGACCAGAACCGACGTCATGAGACCCAGCGATCCGAAACCTTGGGCAACGGTATCCGACTGGACATCTCCGTCATAATTCTTGCAAGCCCACACGTAACCTCCTTCGGCCTTCATGCAGTAGGCAACCATGTCGTCGATCAGACGGTGCTCGTACCAGATTCCAGCGGCTTCGAACTGCGTCTTGTAGTCCTTTTCGTAGATTTCCTGGAAAATGTCCTTGAAACGGCCATCGTACTTCTTTAGGATGGTGTTCTTGGTACTGAGGTAGAGTGGGAATTTGCGGTCCATGGCGACCTTGAACGAAGAGTGAGCAAAATCTTCGATTGAATGGTCCAGGTTGTACATGGCCATGGCGACTCCCGGTCCCTTGAACTGGTTCACAACATAGCTGATTGGTTCTCCTCCGAGACTAGGAGTGAACTTGATCTCTAGAGTACCAGATTCCGGGACGACAAAGTCCGTGGCCTTGTACTGATCACCGTGAGCATGACGACCGATCACGATTGGTTTCTCCCATCCGGGCACGAGGCGGGGGATATTATTGCAGATGATGGCCTCACGGAACACCGTTCCGCCCAGGATGTTACGGATGGTACCGTTCGGGGAACGCCACATCTGCTTCAGGCCGAACTCCTTGACGCGGGCCTCGTCCGGAGTGATGGTGGCGCACTTGATGCCGACGTTGTACTTCTTGATCGCCTCGGCACAGTCGACCGTGACCTGATCGTCCGTCTTGTCCCGGTGCTCCATGCCCAGATCGTACGTGTGCAGTTCGATGTCCAGGAAGGGCATGATCAGCTTCTCCTTGATCGAGTCCCAGATGATGCGGGTCATCTCATCGCCGAGGATGTCCACGACGGGTCCGGTCTTGATCTTGGGTGCCATTGTTTTTTTTTTGTTTACTGGGTACTGTGGAAGAGAGGGAGGTGTTTTGTGGAGTTAGAACGAGGTTGGTAATGAAAAAATAGGTAAGAAGAGGCTACTTTAAGGTAGGGGATGAATGAAGTCCTCGAGCGTTGATTTTTTGCATGAAAGTGCATATTATTCCAGAGCATCGTTGCATTGGCTTATGATGTCATTCAATGTTTACTCTTTTTTTTACTGTGGGATTTCCATTTTTTGTCAAATTTGATTTTCTTCTAATGATGGATATTGAATGCTTGTTTGCATTTTGAAATGTCAACCTTGAGGTCTAACTAATATTTTATTCAATTTTGAAATTAGGTACTTTGTTTAAGATTTGTTTACCATAATGCACCGAAATTTCACGCACCTACACTGAACCAATATGACATATTCCTGTTATGTGGAAATCTTATAAATTTGCGCTATAAGATAATCCATTGAAAATTATATGATTGAAAATGTGCCAGGTAAATTCTATATGAATATCTGATACATTTACAATGCTGATAATTTGGTAACTTTTATATGATCGTCGTATGATAAATGAAAATCGATCAAATTATGATAATTAACTGAAATGGATTTGAAACCCATAAGCATAAGCTACACTTTTCACCACAATATAATATATGTGTCATAAATCAATCGAAGTAAAGTTTGTGTGAAAATCACATGAAATTTACTTCTTCTTTTGACACATATATTTAATCGATTTCTAAAAATAAATCGAAAAATAAACATCAGGCAGTGGGAGCTTTCACAGTTGTGCCTTTTTTTATTGTAGCTGATTTGGGATTCGATCCAGAACTGTTGAGGTGTGATGCTTTCGGTGTCTGCGCTCGATTTCACTGGGCCACGACTGACTTCAAGATTGAGCTCGTTCAAATAGCATGAAGTAAGAACAGCTCTTCCGACATGGAATGCAGTGCAACGTTATGCTCGTTTTGCTAGAGTGAAGACAAATAGCACTGACAAATTTATGTTCCGTTTCGGTGGTGTGGTTTGTTCAAATCTTTCTTAATGCACCTGTGTGCAATAAATCAACGACTAAATTATATAAGTTGATGTAACTGGTTCATGAAGTTTGAGTACTAGGGCTGGCTGAATTAGCCGTGTAGAAGGCTTACAATTAGAATCATAGCAAAGTAAATATTGCAGTAGAATCTTTTTTTTTCAATCTCAATACATTCTTTTCCGGAAACAAACAAAGATTATTCAATACAGTATCATTGTTGTTAGTAGTATTTAGTTCGACTAATCATTTTAATGAGTGTACGATAACATCGTTGAAAATTGTTTCAATAATTTATAAAGAACAATCATGTAAGATGTATTTTATTGGGAGCGATATTCAGCCCAGAAAAACATGCAAAAACAAACGTTTGCTGTTAGATTTCTTAAAAGGCATATCTATATGACTATTAAATGATTGGGATGGATCTGTTTACAATCTTTAAACCTCAAAAATCAAAGGAAGCTATTCCAATGAGATAAACATGTTTTCCTATACTGCAAAGTTAAATGACAGTCCAATAGTTTCTTCATGTCTGTTTACACGCGACATATCAACAAACGTCAAAAATCATTAAAAGCAACTCCAATAAAATATACATCATTATCTTATAAGATATACATTTTAGTGAGCAATATTCATCATGAAAACAGGTATATTTTACTGGATTTTCTCATAGTGCAAACTTATATGATTTTCCATTAGTTTCTAGATGTCTGTTCCCACCCATGACATATCAACAGTTTTTCACCATGAAATATATCAGACAATATTCATATACTTATTACCTATCGCTAACCACGTTCAAAGCAAAGTATTATCAAGTACTAAGTATGTGAAATTACGATAGAAATCATTCCATATCGCAGTCATAGTTTTTAAGTGATAATCCAATGGAATCTATCAATCATCACATAGAATGAATAAATCTGCTGACATTGCTATGTTATAAGATGGATCCAATAAACGGTACATGTCGATTTGTTTCAGTGTATGCGTGGGAGAGCTACCAGTTACGCCAAACCGACGATCAAATACATTGTTTACAAAAGGTGATACGTCCCTTCGAAAAAGTAATCGAGATATGTATTAATTGCGATACACTGAACCAATTAGGAACGTAAATTTCACCTGAAAATTCAGGTAACTTATCAAAAATAGTAATCCAATAAGAATCACCTCACCTCACTCGCGGCGCTGAATAGGCCTGATTATTAATTAAGATACATTTAATAAAGAAATTAACCAAAGAAATCTACCATAAATTCACACAAACATTACTGCAAAATCCAGTGAAATGTACTAGAAAATCACGTAACTTTTAAGTGAAGCCAATTTGACGTCCATCGGTACATCCGATAAAATTTACGTGAAAATCCTAGGGGCATCCCACTCAAACTTTGTATTTCTATCGATATACCTATAGATACCTGGGAATATTTATAAATACTTAAGAAATACTTATGAAATATCTAGCGATGGTTTGTTTGCTCGGTTGCTATAGCCTATAAACAAATTTCATTTGTTTGTTTATCTGACGTTTGGATTCAAATCTTATCTGATTTTGTGTACATTTAACATTTATTATATTGTTACCGATCGGGCAACAGTTTTTCGTTGCGTATAATTGTGAGACGATAGGAAAAGAAACAGTGTTCAGTGTCCCATAATGAAGAGGATCACGATTGAACAGCGGATAGAGCAAAACACATAACAAAAGGGTGGTGGATGAGCTATGATGAAGAGGAGAGAAGGTCAGTGAGTCTGATGAAATTTGGATGGGGTTGAGAGACGCACGTTGTTAGAGTGCACTTTTGGAAGGTAGTGTGTGAAGAGCCTATAAGGCGGTGATAGTAAGCCTTTCGGAGACCGAGATTGCAACCTCTGGGGCAGCAAACGTCCGTGGTCTCCCAGGATCTGGGATAAGTTCACACTACAGCCGCCGATAGCCACGAGGATCGGCAGCTTGACATAGACAGCGGCCGGTTTCTCTATTGCAGTAGCGTAAGTGTTAAACCTCCCGCCCGCCATTGGATCAATAAAACCATTCAATTAAAGCCTAAACTAACCCTTTTTGTAAAGCTTCTCATAATTCCGAAAACTCTCTCTACCTCGCCAACGCCCGGAGGCCCTGGAGCAAAACAGGCCTTTGGTGTCCACCCCAACAACTGCCGACTGGCTTAGACCAGCAGTCAGGGATGTACACACTTAATTCAGATCACCGAAGTCGGTAGGATTTTACCGGGTTTTTGAACAGCAGAACAAGTCGGTAAAAATTTCAAATGACCGTTACACGTGAGAAATCAAGAAAATTTATAAATTTTATTTTTCATCAATAAATGGGGTAAACTGAACAAATTCTGTAGATGTTCGGAATAAATTTTCTAATAATTGTATTTTTAATTGATTTTTAAACTTTTACCGAAAAGTTCAGTAGTTCAAAATTTACCGGACGACGGAGGCCTGGATTAGTGTGTAGACACGTCCCCTTCAGAGACGGCGCAGAAGTCCCGGTGTCAAACAGTTGTGAGTTTCAATATTAATAGAATAAACTACACACCACTGACCGTATCGTACGTGACTCTTTGATCCAGTCCCAGGAGGAAGCTATGCTGATGGCCATTGGAACCTTTCGACTATTGCTCGTTTAAATGTATCATTCAAAATACAGATCTGGAAATGACTATCTTGTTATAAGTATAGTTTTCATGGAGGTTTTCACCCAAAAATTCACTCGAAAAATCGGTTCAGAACCAAATTTAGAACGGTTATTAAAATTGACTATCATAACATTCAATTCACCTGATATTTTTCTTACAGACGCTTACTTTGAACATTCTCATGTTGAAATTATGGTCCTAAAGATTTCGTTTAAAGAAAATCTATTATTTCACCCTAAAAAAAAAACAATAGTGTTGGAACCATTGAGTTGGAAAGCATGTATTAAGCACTCTTCGCAAAAATTAGAGAAAATGTACTCCCCCTTCCCATTCGTCACTTTGTTCCACTACCTAATGCATTGCTTGTCACACATTTGTAACACCCCCCCCCCCCCCCCCAGAGCGTGACGTACTTAATGGATGCTCCCTTAGAGGCTTGAACTAGCTTCTAGTGGATAGTTACAATGATTTTACGTCACAGATGTGGCGATATTGGGGGCATGCTCATTAAATGGGTTAATGAGCTGAACGAGAACCTTACAAAAATGCTCCATTTTCCATGTTTAATTTTATGGTTTAAAAAACCATATTGTTATTTTCAAATTATTGTTATTTATAGATTCGGTGGTTTGGTAAACTATGATTAGTCTGTGAAATGTTTAGTAGTCTTGAGAATAAACAGTTTCATTGTGTTCAGCTTTTATTTCAAAATATATACAGTCAACAACAACATACATTCTTCCACAAATATGAATCACTTCCATATGATGGACACGCTAGGCTGACTGTACAGTAATTAAATGTTCTTTAATTGTAGGGGACTGTTCACATTTAAAGCTCTTTGGTTCCACAATCGTCTTCTAGGATTCGGATGTTAGAGAAAACGGATCAAAAAGACTTGGTGTACTTTCACATTTTAGATCACTGAAAAACATACATTTTATTACATCCTTTCGTAGGCAGATTTGAAATACTTACCTCTTACAATGAATTTATACTTCATTTCAAATAAACTAATTTTATACTCTAAAAAATGATTAGATCACGTGACTAAAATTATCGAACTGATGGAGCAAAAAACAACAAACACAGCACTAGCAACCGGTCATAAACAAACGTTACTACGATGAAAATAAAACCTAAAAACAAAATACTTAAACATACTTAGCGATACTTACGAGATATTTAAAAATATTTAATAAATATTCGAACTAAAGTTTAGAGTGGGATGCCCCTAGTGAAAATCACTTGATTTTCATATAACACATTTGAAAAAAAAAAAATATTCCAAAACACGTAATATTCACCTGAAAAGTTCGATGGAAAACATC